CTGTTTTTCCCTTCCCTTGAATTGTGAGCCGCCCTGAGTCCCCTCAGGGAAAAGGGCGGCATACAAATAAGAAAAATCTAAAAATCTAAATCAACAATCTATTTTCCTACATGTACAGTTATGAGTACATACAAGTACAAACACATAATTTTAATACTGGGCCTTTGAAGTTTTGAGGACTGCATGCCAGAAAAGGGCAATAATTGGACAAATCTATATTTAATTGAATTTGATTAAAGTTATCTTAAAGCTGCATCATTCCTCAGGCCAATTTCCTCTTTTGTCCCAATAAGTAATGAGAATTCTGTAGCTACTTTTGGAAGGTTTCCAGAGGTTACAACTAAGGAATCCATGCACCTCATATGCTTTCCTGATCTTCAAAGTTGTAATGTATGATATCTTGATTTATATATGCAATAAAAATATTTTGCTGTTGGGAAATTTATGAAAAGGTCCTTAAAGCTGTTTTATAATAATGTAATCTAAATTCAATCTAAATTCAAAGGGCAGTTACATTGTAATTATTTGATAATGGGGACGTTAACTTAAAACACTGCAGTGTGAATACGGTTTTTAAGAGTCTCTTGCTTTTGTTGTTTTGTAAGGGGATAGCAGAGGATGAGATGGTTAGATAGTATCATCAACATAGTGAACAAAAATTTGGGCCCATTGCAGGAGATAGTGGAAGACAGACAGGGCATGCTATTTGTCCATGGGATCACAAAAAGTTAAACACGACAGCGCCTGAATTACAGACACTTATTTTCTGATTGAGAAGAACATTAAGTAGTATGTTTCCAGTTAGCTATCTGTTTTCTGTGGTACAAGAAAAAATATAGTTGATGCAATAATTTGCCATGTGAGGTATCCTTGGTGTTCTTGCTTGTTTTCTTGCAAGACTTACCCAAACTAGGTACCACCACTGCTGGCCACAATTTGCTGTGTGTTTTTCAGCACTCTAAAGATCAATTCTACATATTCAGTTTAACTAGTTAACATTTGACAAACCTATGCAGCAGAAGAGCAAGGTACCTATTTCTGCAAGATATACTTGCCAGAATATCTTGCAGAAGCAGTATTTAAATACATTGTTCAAGTCCAGTATCAGAGCCAGAATATAAATGCAAGATAGAAACACTAAGGAAAATTGTTGCGGTGTCATTGTTTTATGTAGTAGTGTGTTTTTGTTTCTTTTAAATAGTAGTTGCTGTTGTAGCTTGATCATTTTGGTTGTTAGATTTATTTTCTCTGTTTCCTCTAGTACCAGAGGCAGCATATATATTCCCCTGTCGGTTTTCTCCTCCAAATTTTTCTGCAACAATATCTATGTGAAGTGGGTTGAGATGAAAGCGAATCACCAACCCAAACTCAGTGAGCTTTTATCAGTCAGATAAAATTTGAACCTAAGTCTCCTAAGGTGGTTTTGTAATCTGGAATAATTTTCAAAAAATATTCTTCTTTGAGGATATTTTAAATTATTTCATTAATACTATAGCATTTTACTTGGTCCATGGAAGCTTCAGAGAGACCATCAAGTCTCAGTTTGTGATTTATTTTCAAGCTTATATTCATGTATGTTAAGTCTTTGTCTTCTTTCTTTCTCTTTCTTTTTTTTCTTTCTTTTTCTTTTCTGTTGGATATTAAGTATATATTTCAAATTTGATGTATGTTTTCAAATATGTTTAATTTGAATTGTGTTAGCTTATTTTATTTCAGTATGTCATATGCACTTAGCAGACACCTTAGATTGTATCTTTGATTGAATATTTACACCATGCTCTGGCAGCATCTATTTACTTTGCCACAAAATATATGTTGATTGTTCATTTTCAATGTAGCTCTCAGTGAACTATTTTGAGACCAGAACAATTTAATTCAAAAGTGCAATTTAGATTGATCAGATATAAGAGGAAAGGGGAAAGAAGAACACAGCTGTTAAGTACAAGTTCATTGGTTCAGCTGAAGAAAATACCTTTTTTATTTTAACAGCTGCTTCTCTCCTTTCATGTAGGATTAGCAGATATATTCCGCCCACTGATCTGTTGAGTCATGAGACACACATCAAGCACATAACATTTTACAACTGTCAGGATTTATTTCTGTGGCGGAAAGGTTGTCTGACAGAATGAATTTGTTTCCAAATGAGTGGGAACACAATCCAGTGAACTAAAAATAAACGAGAGAAAAAATGCTACAAAAAATGAAAGTTCTTCTATAAAAGTATAGCTTAATTACATAGTGAAAACATATTGCTGCCGTTTTTTTATCTTCTTAATCATAATATATTTATAATAGTATGAACTACCTGAATCCAGGAAGTAAAATATTATAACTATTTGATCCTTTACATGTATGCATATTGTCTCTTTTAGACCTTATATTTATGGGCCTACAGCACAGGGGGAGAGAATGCAAATACTGCAGAATTTCAAACACAATCCCAAAATCAATACCATCTTTATCTCCAAGGTAATTCATGTTGCTCTGCTTGATATTGGACTTAATTAGAGAGGTTCAGTATTTATTTTGAATAATCTGTAAATTGTTTTTATTTTATTTTTCATATTCATGTGTTTTTCATTATTGGCCACAAGCTAATATGTTTTACTAAGATTTGGTTATCTATGTTAATATGAGAATATAGTTTGTTTCCTAAAGGGTCCTTATGAATTTACAGGTTGGTGATACATCTTTTGATCTGCCAGAAGCCAATGTTCTCATTCAGATTTCATCTCATGGAGGTTCTCGAAGGCAGGAGGCTCAGAGGCTGGGTCGAGTCTTGAGAGCTAAAAAAGGTAAATCGAGTCTTGTGTTGCAAGATTCTGTAATTTTAATGGAACTGAAGCATGAAAGTAATATGTTATTTAGCTGACTAAGCACATACAATTTGCTATTGTCCTGTTTTGTCACTGTCAGCTCAAGATTGCAGGTTATGACAAAATTCAAAAATAATTATAAAAAGTACTTCAATAGTGGGCTATCGTTTTCTCTTTCCTGCCTAATCATTCCTCCAAACATTTAATATTTTTCGTTATTTAAAGATACAGTTTAGTAGATCTTAGGTTAAAGAGACTGCTTATTCTGAGTGAACTTTGATGGCAGCTTTGCCAAAATTGTAATACCACTGTAGTATTATTTTACAATGTGATTAGGGCTTGGAGAAATATTTTTTCATGCCACACTACCCCAAAGGAAACAGAGTGATTGAGGTATTCCATTAGCAGCTTGACCAACCAAAGTATAAAGTTAGCAATAATGACATCTGATGTGAGTATGAGATGTGTTTTTAAGACTAATGCATATAAGTACTTTCTGACTGAGTGTTTGGTATTTTAGTGTAAAGTACTCCTTCCTCTAGACCCAAAACTAAGCCTCTGTCAGCAGTTAAATTACAACAAAGAGTACAAACGTACTAGAACTTATAAAATGCATTTTTGTATTCCACAAATTTCCAAATTAAGAACATTAAAATTATGCTAGCAAACTGTATTTGATAAATTACATCCTTTCTATTCTGTAAAAATTGGAGCACCCAGTTTGACATGTGAGATACCTGGTTTGCTATCTTGGGGACTTCCTTTTCCATCTAACATTGTAATTTTAAAGCATTCTTTTAATGTAAAAAAAGTGAGATGTCTTCTGCATCATCTTTATTTTCAATGAGGCCTCCAGGATTCAGATGGATACGATACAGTTTCTTTTTAAAAAGTTGAGAGGGAATGGGAGGCTGAAAAATGCTTTGTTTGAAAGTATGTTCACTTTACTAAAGAAAGGATAGGATTTTCTGCTCAGGGTGAAGATTTGCTCCCCTTCAGAGGGCAAAATTGCTGCAATATATTATGGTACAGGTCATGTGCCAGATCAGCTGGATTTTGCATTAACAGGAAAAAAAGCACTTACTATAAATTTCCTGGAAGAAATCATGATTTTTTAGGTGAGAAAAAATGGGGTTTTCTTTTGCTAATGTATACATTTAAATTTGGCAGAATATTGTTATCAGTATACTTAATTATAGGATACTAGAAAGCAATTATAGGAAGTAACTTTTGTAGACAAGAAAAAACCAACAAAACTTGGTTTTTCTTGAAAGTTTTGACTTGCTAGATGTGAGCTAATCTTCCATTGCTAATTTTTTTTTTCTTCAGGAATGATTGCAGAGGAATACAATGCCTTTTTTTATTCTTTGGTCTCTCAGGACACTCAAGAAATGGCATATTCTACAAAACGTCAAAGATTTCTAGTAGATCAAGGTTACAGCTTTAAGGTAATTCTGTAATTTGTAATTTACAGAACTGAGAATACAGAACCGGCTTTAATTTTTATTATATTCAGATATTCAGTATTTAAACCAGTGGTTCCTAACATGGAGCCCATGCCCAACAGGGGAGCAATTTGATTTTTAATGGGGGTAATTTGAACCTTGTTTAAACCAATGGCCTTTTAAGCTTCCTCCGTGTGAGTAGAGTTCATATTTTGAGTAAAGTAAGAATTATATGTCACCGGGGGGGGGGGGGGAGGCATCAGGATTTTAGAGATGCTTAGGTGGGACATGGCCCAAAAAAGGTTGGGAACCACTGGTTTAAACTGTTCAAACTCGAGACCGTGGGCAGAGTTTCAAAGTACTACAGTCAAACCAATGTGCCACTAGATGTCCAATATTTTCATTATATTGTAGCAGCTGAAAATCAGTCCCATTTTAAATTTATTATTTTAAATGAAACAGCCGTTGCATTGTAATTATGTTTCTGCCCCTGGGACAAATTTTATACAGTTATTCCTCGACTTACAACTGTTCATTTAGTGACTGTTCAAAGTTATAACAGCAGTGAAAAATGTGACTTATGACCGTTTTCAGTTACAACCTTTGTAGAGACCCCATGATGTGATCAAAATTCAGATGCTTGACAATTGGTTCATATCTATGATCATCATTGTATTTCAAGGTCATATATTGTGACCTCACAAGCAACGGCACATTTATTTAGTATTCATTTATAAAATTTATTGGCCACCCATCTTATTGCAAAGTATCTCTGGGAGGCTTACAGTTACATATACTATTACAACTTAAAAAGTTAAAATCAGACATTAAAACCAAGGACAAATGGGGAGGGTAGAAAAGGAGGAGGGAAGGGAGATCTGGTATTACTCAACCACCTCCATTGTGTTGTTCCCCCATTGGGGCCCAAGCAGACTGGCAGAGCTACATCTTAGGCCCTTATGAAAAGATGGGGCTAGGGCAAGATGTTCTAGTGGGCAGGAGCAATAGCAGATAAAGCCCTTCTCCTGGAACCTGCCAGCCAGAATAATCAGGCTGATCGGATCCGCAGCATGCCTCATTTGCCAGCATGAGTGGTAAGGCCGATTGCTTTGAAATTTTGACACAACGTTGCATTCGAATACGCACATGTTTTTATATACCTATATTATAGGTATAATATAGTATTCCGGAGGCTGCCCGTCACAGGGAGCTTGGAGGGTGCCAGGCTGGGGCCTGCGGAAGCATCTTCCATGGCAGCTCTTTCAGGGGCCACCGTGGCTTACTTCCATGCGGGGGCCGCCTCTGCCGAGGGAGCCGTAGCCGATGCAGTGAGTAGCAGGGCCGCCAGGTGGGCAAGACCCTGCTGGTAACGGCATGACCCTGCCTGGAGGGAACCACCCTGGGAATGTTTCTTTCTTCACATGCTGTTGGTAAATGTGCCCATTCCAACTTCTTTCCAG